GAAATACTTGAACTTGAACTAATACTTGGACGTACTTTGAATGTCCTAAGACGCCCAGCGGGTGTCCAGATGGATTTTCTATGGATGTTATTGGACGTCCTATGCTCACTAAAAGTTTATTAGAAATTCACTTTTTAATATTATTTCAAAAAACTCACCTATCAAGATTATCAAAAAGAAGCAAACTTTTCTGAATATGTAGACCTTTCCTTAGTACATCTCTCAGTTTAAGAACTTCAGTTTCCAACCAATCTTTTCCTACTCCAAGATACTTAGTTAAATTAGTTTAAGAAGAATGTCTAGTCAATTTTAAACTCTCCATAACACAATATTCTATTTTATTTCTTTTTACTGTAAAACGAAAACAATTATAATAAAAATTTACAAGTAAAACGCAACAAGTATTGAAAATTTTTAATATTGAAATATACACAATTAAATTCACTACTAACGCAAAGCAAATTACAAGTAACAAGTAACTGTGTTCTATAATTTATAGATTGCAATTACAAATGGACATATTAAAAAGTGGATAATTAAAATTTTAATATACGTTAGTAAAACTTTGTTAATTTTTTGTCGTAAAAATGCATTTTTTAACGCTTTTTTACATTTTTCAAGTTAATTTTTACACACACAAAAAAAAATATATATATATACATAAATATATAAATACATATATATATACATACATATATATATACATATATATATATATATATATATATATATATATATATATATATATATATATATATATATATATATATATATATATATATATATATAATTTTATGCAAAGCATCATTATCTGACATAAGTATAAACAAACAAATGTTTGGAGTTTTGATTCATGTCTGAAAGTTAGCTCAAACACCAAAAAATGCTGGATCCGTCACTGATGAATGATTTCCACAATTTCTTTAATTTAAGGTAAATAATAAATTTCAGTGCAAGAAAAATAGATAAACATTCATTTTGAAATAATTCATGTAGATCGTTGAACTAGGCTTTAGATATTATTTATTAAGCAAAAACATGATAAAACAACATATAAAAAATAGAATTAAAATGTTAACGCAATGTGCAACATAAGATTAAGAGCGTAAAAAGATAAGCATTCGTGTGAGACGTAAAACACTTATTTTTATCAGCGGATATATAATTAAAAAAAAAAAAATTATGTAACTGTTTAGAGACAACGTTCTTCAAGTTTTATTCATCACAAAGTGCATTATTTGTACACAAAAATTAATAAATTAATCAAAAGTATTAAAAAATTTAAATTCTGCGGTTGACAATCTCCCACAGGTTCTCGATAGGATTGAGATCCGGAGATTGAGGCAGCCAATTCATCACCAATAGGTGGTTGTCTTGAAACCACTGCTTGACTACTTTTGCAGTGAATTTCGGATTGATATCTTCCTGAAAAAACCATTTTTTTGGCATATTCCATTCAGCATGAGATAACATAACATCTTTCAGGATATTTTTATACATGAAACGGTCCATTATTCCATCGATTCGATGTATTGGACCTGGACCGTTAACAGAAAAAACCCCCAGACCATTACATTGCCTCCACCATGCTTCACGGTCTTATGGCAGTAACATAAATCGAGGCGTTTTCCGGCCGGTCGACGTACACGGCAAATGCTATCGCTCCCAATAATGTTGAACTTCAATTTATCACTGAACAAGACAGTTCGTCATTTTTGCACATTCCAGTCAATATGAGATGTAGCAAACAGGAGTCTTTTCTTCTGGTTCTTTAGTGAAATCAGCGGTTTCTTTGCAGGGCGTTGAGAAAACAATCCGGTTTCAACAGCACGTCGTCTGATTGTTCGGTCCGATACAGGCAGCTCTATTTGCTTTTGTATCTCAACTGATGACATCCAGGGATCCTTCTTGACGGATCTGACGATCATAAAATCCTCTCTAAAAGTGGTGGAACGCGGTCTTCCACCTTTGATATCTGGTGCCAACTTCCCCGTAGAACGATATTTGGAACATAGTCTTGATACGGTCCATTTATTCACGCAATATTTATCATAAATACTTTTTTGTGACATTCCAATTACGTAATCGCCTTTCTTAGTTCCAATCCAAGACTGTCGGAAGCCAATTTTTCACTTGAAGTCATAAAAATAATAAAAACAAATAATCACGCTTCTCAAGGCTTACCGTGTTACATTTACCTTGTGATGATAAAATAATGCTCTGTGGAACACAACGTCTTGGTTGGATGTGGACTGTATTGATGTAATGTACTGATATTGACTATATTGATGTAACACTTGTTGTATTTCGCTTCTTGTATTGATGTTCTTCTATAAAACACTTTGATAAAACTCACTTCGATAAACTGTCTTGATAATACTGACTGATTGACTTCCATATAGACGGGTTGCTTTGTTTACATTCTGAAGCGCGTGCGCAAAAAACGACAGGCAAAACATTTGATCTAAAGCTAAATAAAAGTTATGGTGTGAAGTTTGTACAAGTAAACTACGTGAATAAAAAGTCTCACAAAGTGAAACCAGCGCGATAAAATATGTTAAAATTTGTTATCCAGTATCAAAATATACTTTGTCAATTTTTAAAAGTAAAATAAATTTAAAATTAACACGATATACTTCTATTGATCTATACTTCATCAATCCAGCGAAATTATAGAAAAACTGAGAATTCGTATCAAAATTTACATAAATTAGGATCAAAAGCTGTTGTTTTTAAAATCATTAGTTGGTTAATCGATGTTTCATCGATTTAATGGAATAGACACTGCATTTGAAAATGAGTTTTACTTTACTCCTAAAGATCAGACTGAACCAATTACTGTTCATTATGAGCCATTGCTTATTAACGAAAGCCAAGATAAAGTTACAGAAAAATCAAAAGGTTCATTCAAATTGTTAATGAATTCTCATCAAAGTTAACTTAATACAATAGAAAATTTGTCAAAAACTTTCAGGCCTGGACTTCATCTGTTTATAAAATACTGAATCTGTTTATAAAATGGGGTACAATGTAAATATTGGTAACCCCTCACAAGTCTTTATAAGTCAAATAATGTAATATTCTAAAATTGTTTGTTATATTCCAAAAGATTATAATCTTAAAATTGAAAGTATTGCAAAATATAAACGAATGTAATGTCTCCACAATCGCTGGTTTGTACATTAATGTTGATTATCCTTAGTGCAAGTCAAGATAAAATTAAAACAATGAAATTGTCATGGAACGGGTATTTTTTAAATAAAATTCTTTTTAATTATAGAAACAGCTTAGAGTTGTAAAAAAGATGACCAAAATTATCCACCTAATAAAAATGGTCTAATTAAAACTAATCACAAGAACAACTATCAAATACAACAACAAATGGTGGTAACGAAAACAAAATATTATCTGTTGAAGTAATAGAAACATGACAAATGATAAACTCTGTATCTTTAAAAACAAAATTAAAACAGTTTTTTAAAAAATTGTAACAAGAAAATTGAATCCAAATCAACTACAGCTGTTCTGCGTGTGTAAATTTTCATTGTCCAGTCAAATGGTATCATTACCTTGTCTTCAAATAAAAATTGGTTTTTCTCTACCTGCGTTTTGCAGCATAAAGACAATATAATAAGCTTTTATGCAACACTACTAAACTAAATTTAACTTCTTTTTAAATTGGAAAATATATTATATGATTTGTTGACAAACCTTTTGTAATAAAACATTTTATAAACATATATATAATATATATATGTGAAATTTATTATCAGGCATAATTTGATGACAAAGGGAAAGAAATGAAAACTTATATTTTGAGAAAATAACTGCAGTTTTGGACAAAATTTTTAAACAAAATTTTAACATGTTTTACTTGCCGTTTTTTGCGCGTGCGCTTTAAAATGTAAACAAAGCAACCCGTCTATACTGACTGAATTAAATGTCGGTTTACATGTCTCTTATATAGTAAAATGAACCTGTTCTGAAAGATTCTAGATGCTTCTTTTCGATGCTTCTAAATGTTTCTGGATACTTCCAGATGCTTCTTCTGGACACTTCTGGATACTTCCTTTATTTATCAAAAAACTTTGTCTTTGTTTTCTTAAGTCTGGTCCGTGACGTTGACACGGACCAGACTTAAGAAAATGAAACAAACCAAAAAAGCTGCACTTGTTTTGTCCGCTGCAAAATGGCACTTTTAAACAAAACTCTGCCTGTGTGCTGTCACCTGTCAGCTGATTGCTCATGCTAGGCATGCTATGACTCCAGACTCCTGAACTGTTTGTTGTGGTAGTATAGTTCGTTTCGTTTTTTAGACATGTAAAATTAGGAACACTTTTTAGCATTGTTCGATGTTGGTTGCAAATGTTTTGTCCATTATTGTACGCTACATTCCTCTCAGATTCTTATGAAAATATCTATCTAACATCATGCATAAGTTATCTTATAAAAAAGAGTGGTACACCTAATACAACTGCACAACTTTACAACATAAAGTGCTTAACTGGTGGCCCGCTGGTGCAGTCAAGCAATTTAGTAACATTTAAGGCAATATTTTTTCTTAAAAGAATTTTAAAAAAATACTTTTTTTAAATCAATTTTCAGCAGATTAAATTAATTTTTTAAGTGAAAAAGTAAAGAGTAAATCTCACACACTGGGAAAAGACCTGCTAAATTTAGTAAAAAATGATCAACTTATCAGTGGAAGTGGAAAAAACTTTTCAAACTTTATAAAAAAATAAGAAGTTTTGAAAAACGTAAATCAATAACTAGCAGAATAACTTACTGAACTTTGAACTTGCTGCAAAGGTTTTTTTCATAAAAATTATGAAATATTATTAGTTTATTCGACAAATTGCTTTAGATTTACTTAAATTTCATGTGTTGATGGTGAAATCTTTGCCTCGACCCAAAATTTGTTGCGAAATCATTTAACACTTTACACTTAAAATTTGTTGTGAAATATTTTACCTGTTCCCCACCCAAAATGATAAAGTATATAAAAATAATCCTCTAGTAGACTTTATACAAAGAATAATTCACAAACATGTGCTTTCTAAAATATCTATAACTATGATTAAAATGGTGAGAGTTGAGCTTATTCGTCTGCGCTCTCATCATCGTCATCATCGTCATCTTCTTCTTCTTTTTCGTCTTCGCCAGCTTCTCCTTCCTCTTCAGTTTCATAAACGCTTTCACCAGATTCATCTTTGTTTTCGTCGTCGCTAGAATAATCCCAGTGTGCACCAGGATCAAATTCTTTTGCTTCCGTTACATTTACCTACAAAAAAAGTATAAACTAGTTGAGAAAATGTTTTATGTTTTTTAACTTTAAAATATAAGCTATACAATACATACTATTTAAGTTGAATAAACAATAACAAAAAAAAAAAAAAGTAGAGCAAAAAAATTAAATGTACCTTAAATGTTTTTGAATTGTCCAAATCAACATAAGAATCTGAGCGAACAACTACAGTATAAATATAAGCCCCTGGTTTTTCTGGAGCCGTAAATTTAAGTTGCACCTAAAAATTTAAAAGCAATAATGAATAGTTTATTGATCAAAAAACAATCTGAGTCAGAAATATTTATTTGTGCTAAATATATAAGATATTTATTCTACTAGCAGTAAGTACCTTATGTGTATTTAGAACTAGATCATGATGCAGATGGCCGGTTCAACTTTATAAGTATTTAGAGCAAAATTTATATATCTTTAGCTTAAATGGCTTTGATATGCCTTTAGTAAGGTATAATTTTATACCTTCTAAGAAAAGAAATTATACCTTTAAGGAAGAAAATTGCATAACAAACCATTATTTTTGATATAATTTTCTACCTCAGAAGACATAAACCTAAGGGTATATCAGATATCCTACCCTAAAGGAAAAAATTCTATCTTTTTTTTAGTGTGTATTACACGTAGATACGCGATGCGTAGTTACGCAACCTAATTATAAAATAAATATATTTACCTACCGTCGATGGTGAAAGTTAGATGGCGGCGATGTTTTTTGTTTAACATTTTTAGTCATGTTTTAAGTTATTAGAGAACATGGCTCAATTATAGATAATTCATGACACCTCAAGCAATGAGATATGCAGTTGCTCAATAAGTCGTAAAAAACAAACACTTTATGTGGCCTCAACAATGCACACCAAAAGCGCTAAGAGGAACACCATCCATGCACAGCCTGACACTAATAATACTCCGATATTTTAAAACTCTTACTACATTCAGCTTCTCTGAGATATGCAACAGATTTTGCAACTAATGAACACCACCTAATGAACACCACAACATATACGCATAAAAAGGCCGACCATAATCTAAATCATCAAATAAACTTCAATTAACAACAATGTTTTCAACAAAATCAAGTTAAATAGTAACTCTGACTGCTTCAAAAGACCATAAAGCCATTTTTTAAATAATCCTACTGTCCAGCTCGATTAATGCAAAGCTACTTAACGATGCAATAAAGTTACTGGTCAGCACTTATTTGATGGTGCAGGGTATGCAAACTAGTATGAAACTTTATTTGGCATTATCTCAAGTTTATAAAAGAAAAGAATTAGGTATATATCGAGACTATGGTCTAGCTATGTTTAAAAACTGAAGTGTTCAACAAATGGAAAAAATAAAGAAGCATTTTGTATAAATTTTTAAAACAAATAATTTTGACTTATTTATCAGCTATAATGCTAATTTATTTATTACCTAGACTTAACGCTAAATATTAATAACAATTCCTTCCAACCATAATCAAAGATAGCATTCTCAGATATATACATGCTGATTCTAACAACACTCCGAAAATAATATAAATTATGAGAAATAAAAACCACAACAGGAACATAATTTGGTTTTTCAGTAAAAACATTGCAAAATAGGTAACCATTTTTTTTAATATTATTGGCGTAAATTTTCCAGATAATCATTTAATACAAAAATTTTCAACAGTAACACTATTAAAATTAGTTACTAATGCTTGCCAAACGTAAAGTCAATTAATAATTTGCATAATCATAATGTTTTATATAACTACAAACAGAAAAAAAACAGTATCTGCATCAACTAATCTAAGAATACTGTATATCAAGCTACAGTTTCATCAAACAAACTAGATTATATTGAAAAAGTATATATAGACCTTATGCAAACCACTTCTAATCTTTTAATTCAGTTAAGTAAATAATAGAGATGTCTATAGAAATCTGGAAACTAAAAGATAAAAACTTTTTATTCTTTATTAAATGAAAAATTATCAAGTGTTACAAACGGTACAATCCTTTGTCTAAAATTTTTAACCATTGCTAAATAAGAATTTTTGCATTTTAACTCACACAGAGGAAATTCTGTTAAACAAAAAAAAGAAGTTCATTTAAAAATGCAGACACAAAAATAAATTCCTTGTTTTGTTTAATAATTCTGGTGGTTAGCAATTTTTTTCTTTGGTAATTTTTGTTTTCTCCGTAGAAACAGATGTCACTTCAACGTATTTTGTAATTTTGTTAAGGATTCTCTGTTTTTTATTTTGTACATGGCTGATGATTGCTGTATAGGCATGAAACAACTTAGAGTTTACTATTATTATTATTGTAATACAATACTAAACATCAATATATATATACATATATATATATATATATATATATATATATATATATATATATATATATATATATATATATATATATATATATATATATATATATATATATATATATATATATATATATATACATATATATATATATATATATATATACATATATATATATATATATATTTACATATATATATATATATATATATATATAATATAAGCATATATATATATATATATATATATATATATATATATATATATATATATATATATATATATATATATATATATATATATATATATATATATATATATATATATAAGCATATATATAAGCATATATATATATAAGCATATATATATATATATATATATAAGCATATATATATATATATAAGCAATATGTAATTACCTCCTCTTCACTTTTTAAATTAGTAACTTGCTGTGGAGGGGTGAGAAGAGTACCTGATTTTTTGTTTACTATAAAAACCCACCAATATTCGTGTTTTTCCTTTAGAAAAATAAAGAATATTTATGTTGATACAAAATAAGTCTCAAAATAAAAATTGAATGAGAAAAACGTAACATAAAACAGTACCATTGGAAAGTAAGGGCAATGAACAATATGACTTTCTTTTGATTTTAGTTCGAGCAGTTTCTCTGGTTGTATTAGATCATCATCTTTGATTTTAGACCACTCATCTTTAGAGCCTTCATTTTCATCTACTGATGGTTCCTGTTCATTATTGTCTTCATACTCATCATCGCCAGAATCTTCAATTTCATCAACACTATATTTATGTATGTGTGTATATAATATATATATATATAAATATATATATATATATATATATATATATATATATATATATATATATATATATATATATATATATATATATATATATATATATATATATATATATATATATATATATATATATATATATATATATATGCACATATATATATATATATATATATATATAAATGCATGGTAAAAAAGTGTAAATTTTACATTGACCAAATAAAAATAAAACATCAGTTTAAGAATTTTTTAATTATCAATCAATTTATCATTTGTTTGGGATATAATAATTGGTTTTGTTAACACTTCTGTAATTTTCGTTAACATTTTTGTGATTTAAGTAAGAATCAGAAATTATCTTTTTCCGGAGATTTCCAGATTTCCGGATATTTTTCTCAACTATTAGTTTTTTCGGATATTCAAAACATTTTCCATGCATATAAGTTTAGGTATATATTTTTGTAACCCATTTATTTTTTAAGCACAATTTTTACAAAAATTAGGAAAAGTTTGAAAAAAAATTGGAGGCAACTCAGCTAAAAGCAAAGTTAAGAGGAAAACAAGGGAAAATATATTCCTGATTTTTTCCAGAGATTTTACCCAAACAATTTTCAGATTTTCGAAGAAGGCACAACTTAAATGAAGATTAAAGTTGTGCCTTCTTTTGATACCATAAACTAGCTTAGATGTTATGGTTACAGACTTTACAGGACGTTCAATTGATTGAGTTTGAAAGATATGTAAACGGCAAAACCTCTCCAGATTCTTTTGAGTTCATAAGATCAAAACTAATTGTAATAAGAGGTTGCGCCTCAATTTGACATACTTGTACTAGGTCATTCCAACATTTACAATTTTCATAATTGATTTGGCTTTAATCTTAGGGACAAATTTTTTATTTTCTTCTTGTGTTTTGTAGGCTATGCAAATTAAAATCGAGTTAAAAAAAAAAACATTAGAATGGTTTGTTTATGTTATTCAGATACAGTATTTCCGGTTAACTTTATATACTTTGCACTAGTTTAACTCAATGTAAAATATTTTACAAACCAAATAAATATTTTTGCATAAAGGGTGTTCTGATGATTTCTTTTTTCTAGATTTTTATAATATTTTTTCATTTGCTTGTTATTTTTTAAGAAAACAAAGTTCAAGTAAGGATTCAAAGTTACACTTGCATTTAGAGTAACATTGAATACTATTAAACTGAATGTCAATTCTAATGTTTTTATTGTAAAAAATTGTTTAGATTTCTTTGCATTGAAATAATTTTTAAATACATCTAATAAGAATATTTTGACAATAAACATACAAGTTATTCAATAAGATAATGCAAATCACTCAATAAACTTGTTGATCAAATTATAAGGTTATCAAAGAAAAAGTTTTAAAGACATATATAATTCTCTATTCATAAACATCATTCACTATAAAAAAGTTACAGCGGTTTACAAGGTTTAACAAGGTTTACAAAAAATTACAGTGTTTAAGGTTAACAAAAAATCAAAGTTATAATATCTAAATGTGAATAAAATTAATGCAACTCTGCAACCAATGTCATCATTTATTGTATACACAGTCTCATCAATTGAGAAGGACTGATTTAGAATATTTCCAAACAATTAATCACTAATTTCACTTTTTTTGACTTAGCTAGAGTATATGTTCCCTCATACCCGATGAGACAAAATGAATTTTCAACAAGCTATTGGTTTTTGGGGTTAGTAGATGACATAAGTACTTTGTTTTGAGACACAAATCTTTTCAATACTACCATTATCTTGCTCAACTTGAAAATCACAATCAACTTGGATATGTTAATTGTCACAAGTCATTAGGTTGAGTCACAATAAACTATTTTATAGAATAAAAATTTTGAAAGATCATTCTATGATCTTTGAAAGCATATGCACTGTAATAGTTTACTTGTTCCAATGAAAGCATGATTTGCAGACATGTAAAACTTCAATAAATTGCTCATTGATCCCAATAACTTGATAACAATTTTGATTTTTATATAATATTTATTTTGAAATTTTTGATAAATTAATGTTTATCTTTTACCTTGTTTTGCAATTGCATGTCACATATTCAAGAACAAGTTTATTAAAATATTGGCAAACATTTATTATAATGTTCATTTACAATTTGTCAACAGTTAAAGGGAAATTGGAATTCTACCCATTAATGTAAAAATTGATGTAAAAAAGAACATTATGATGATAATATTAACATTCCTAATAACATTTACAAAACCAGTTTTTACAGTTAATTGTGTTATTGCTATTTTGTACTATTATGTTACAATATTGTCAACTATGATTGTTTCTTGAGTTTAAATACTTAGGACTAAGTTTTATGAAATATTTTTAGTTAGTTGCTTTAACCAACTAAAAACATTTTTTTTTTTTTCACAATATAACAATTGGTTCACATTTACATCTAAAATTATTATAATATGACTACTTAAATGATATTTATGGTTAAATCAAAAATATTTACTTAAGCTGTTATTTTGAATGGTATTCATCTTTTCTATTAGTTTGCATATTCATTTAGAGTATGTCAGAGGGAAGGGAAGTGTAATATAAATGATGTGGAGCAATTAACAGAATTAAGAAAATTGGAAAAATTATTATTAGATTTTGTCTATGTTTGCAAACTGAGATGCATAAACTTTAGAGGTGCACAAAGCCTAATATAAAATCCTTTTATATTTTTAACTTCACGGTTAAGTTTTCTTAAATCTTTATCAATCTGCATATATCTGCATAACCACTTTTATGATTTTAACCTGTTTATTAAAATTATACATGATGTAATAAGATTATCTTTTTAATTTTCTAATTATAATTAAATCTTAACATAAACTATTTTTTAATCATTTTTTATACTTGAAACATTTTTAAAATCAATTTAAATAAGATAATATATATATATATATATATATATATATATATATATATATATATATATATATATATATTAACATTTAAATATATCAATTAATAAACTATTGAAGATGATCGTATTGCAAATGTAATAAACCATCTGTTTAATTTTTTAGAATTTTGTAATATTTTTTAAAATATAAGTCAAATTTCAATGTTTATTGATTATATATAATTTTATGTAAGATGGTCAATTATGTTTTATTAAATTTAGTACAATTATGTTTTATTAAATTTAGTACAATTTCATTGTCTAGTGGAGATATTAAAAGGAATGCAAATAAGATTTTATAAAGTTTATTTACTTTTAAGGACTTGAAATAAACTTTATAAATGCTTTTTGTTTGTTTGTTTGTATTTCAACTAATTTCTTTGTTGAAAATGTTTAAGATGGAATAATAATGTTTTAACCTTAATTCATATTTTTAATAGAACATCCTTTAATGAATTCAAATGCTACAACAACTTTGCAATTAGCTAAGTTGATTAAGAAATATAAGTGTGATGTTAATTTAATTTTTCCTAATGTATAACCCTATAAATATTTCGATATCACGCTTTTTCGTCAATGGTTGTTTAACATATTTATAAAACTTTTTAATCTGAATAACTTAAGTAAGTGGAATTGTTAATGTAAAATTTATTATACTAGATTTTTTTAATTTTTATGTATTAAAAACATATATTTTTTTTAAAGATGTATTAAAAATACAAAGATAACTTTAAACAAAAGATATCGTATTAAACAAAGATAATGTATTAAAAACATGTCTACTTTCCATTAGTTTACTATTACTTTACAACTATCATTAGTTTACTTTGTCTACTGTTCAAATTTTAATTTAGTCAACTTAATGATTTTAAATTTACTTTATGAATTATTAGAAAAGAGTTTTTAAAAAAAATTTGTCACAATTCAGGTAAGAAAAAATTTATTTTCTGGTCAGTTTTTTGTACTGTTTATTATTATGTTAATTGCTAATTTTTGTAATAGTTTATTGTTTTATCTTTTTTAATCTATTTATTTTTATCTTTTCTCTTTAGATTTTGACTATTTTTAACAGTGCTTCAAACAATCCAATACATTCTAATACATTCCAATGATGACTGTGTTATTCCATTTCTGTGATAGCTAGCAAAATCTTGCCCATAAAATGACTTAAGTGTTGTTCAGGTAGGTGTCAGGGTTTTTGCTTATAGAAACTTCCTCAGCTTTTTTATATGTGTCTATATATATATATATATATATATATATATATATATATATATATATATATATATATATATATATATATATATATATATATATATATATATATATATATATATATATATATATATATATATATATATATATATATATATATATATATATATATATATATATATATATATATATATATATATATATATATATATATATATATATATATATATATATATATATATATATATATATATATATATATATATATATATATATATATATAATTTTAGATTTAAACTGAAATTTGAAGTTCAATAGATAATGACAAAAAAATAACAAAAAATTTAAAAAAAAAATTATTCAAGAATATAATTTAAAAATAAAAATAGCATAAAATTAAGAAAAAGTAAAAATAGATACCCATTAAATTCGTAGTCTGAATCTCCAGTATTTTCGCCATCATCAGCATTTTTTTTAGATTTTGATTTTTTTTCCTTCTTTTTTTCAACTTTTTCTTCTTCTTTTTTTTCCTATTAATTCTACATTTTCTAACAACTCCCTTTTTTAAAAAACAATAAGATTGATAAAGAAAAAAAAAACAAAAAACTTTTCTAACCTCTTCTGGTTTTTTAGTTTTTTTGTTTGTTTGTTTCTTAACTTTTTTATTTCCTTTACTCTTTTTGACTTTTCGTTGCCATGCTTTTGCAGGTTTTGGAGAATCCTAAGTTGAAATAAAAATATAACTCACAGCTAAAATTGAAATAAAAATATAACTCACAGCTAAAATTGAAATTTAAATCAGTTGTAATGAGCAAATGTATTTTTTTAATTTGTTTTTTATTGAAATTTTTGTACATAAAATCATAAATTATGTTAAAATTCAGATATTACAGAATTCCAAAGTTTAACAAAAAAAAAAAAAAAAACTTATTTTTAGTAACTCTTGATTTATCTCTTGAAATTATAGATTTGAATCTTTGCTCCCAGTTTATGATGAACTACCTGCCGAGTTTCTAATAAACCACTTCTTAACTCTCTGATGAATTGAACCCTCATTATTTGTTCCTAAACTAGTTTCTAGTTTTTTGAAATTTCTAGTTTGTATCTTCCTTGCTTTAAAAAACACTCAGTAACCAATTTTATAAAGTATATAACTTTATAAGCTTTTTACCAACATGATTTTTAATATATATTTGCATGCATTAAAGACTTTCAACAGGTACCTAGGCCCGTTGGTTGCTACCCAGATAGAATTATCAAAAGAAAGGTAATCGTCACTTGATAAATTTAAAATTCCTTTGATTCATTTTTTTTATGTTTAAAATCATTAATCATAATATAACAATATAATAATATCAAATTGGTATGTGAAAGAAGATATTGAAAAATTTTGTTGTTAAAAATTTTAATAGTTATTTCTTTATCACCATCAGAATTTCTAAAAACATTCATAAAGATATTTGAGTTTCTAATCAAGAAACTCACTTTATATAGTGTTTTCCTTTACATAAATCAAAACTTTTCTAACTTGTTTATTAGTTTTTCTCTTTAACAAACTAACAAATATTCAAAACCTTTTAAATTATAACTCTTAGCTTTCAAAACCTTTTCATATATAACTCTTAGCTTTCAAAACCTTGAAAATACTATTATTTTAAAGCTTAGTCAAGCTTTTTTAAGTGAGCATAGGAAATTTATTCTAAACAGCTAAAATTATTAAAAAAACAGCAATCATTATTTTGTAATAAATTAATGCTTTGTAAAAGACAGCATATGCTGTCTTTTACAAAACATTGCCTAATAATTTATAGGTGTTTTTGACTAAAACAACTTTTGCATAATAATTTGAATAAATCCACTGTTAAAATTCTTATGTTTTTTAATGGTTTCTATTATTGTAAAGTATTTTAGCTATAGTATTTTGGATTGATTTTTTAACAGATTGCTTTTTTCTTTTTTAATTTGCTGTAAGTATAAGTAAAAATTTTAAATTGCTTCCCTTAAATATTGTTCAATTGAGCTCATTTTGCCTGAATTTTTATAATTAAAAAAAAAAAGAAAATTGAAAAAAAAAAAAAGAAATTGAAAAAACAACTAAAGTTATAAAAAAACAGCAACCACTAATTTGTAACAAATTGTTTTGTTACAAATTAACTGAATAAATCAATGTTTATTAAAAATAAACATTGATTTGTTACAAAAACATTGATTCATTCAATTAATTTGTTACAAATCTTTGGCACAAGAAACAGTGGACATGCTAGTATTTCATAATATAAAATTCAAATGAAAAACGATAACTTTAAATAAATGACATCATTGCATAAAATGATTTTATTGGCTGTTATAAGTACAAATTTTATAATAAAAATATTGTTCTTTAATGGGTACCCGTGTACCTATCCATTTGTTTGACAGGTACCCAGGCAAGCATTTTCATGATTTTTGATAACCCTATTTAAAACAGCAAAAACAAATTGCAACTTTTTATTTTCTTGACCATTAAAATAATAATAAAAAAATTTTAAATTGAGAATTAAAAATAAAAATACATGTTATTTGTTTTAGTCTCAAGTAAAGTTTCAATGTATATAGAAAATAATTTTTGAATTCATCCTTTTCAATTTAATTTAAATTTTAAATTGAAAAGGATTCCCGTTAGTTTATGATGAATTCAAAATTTATGAAAATTTTGAAAAAGTGCTGAACATAGTTTATAATAATCTCACCCCTACTCTTGTTTATAATAATCTCACCCCTACTCTTGTTTATACTCCTGTTCTGTAAACCCTTACTCCTGTTTATAAGACATCTAAGAGTAATAATGCATAAAGATGTATGCAAGTAATCAACACTCTTGCTTTGCTGAAAAAGCTATCAAACCTTAGAAAGAGTATTCTTCTTCAAAAGCTCTCTAAGCCAGGAGAATTAAAGTATTTAATTAAAGTGATAGCAAATTATTTTGATGGGAAGTATTCAAAATACAAAAATTTGCTTTTAAAGTTAACTAAGTTTTAAAGTTAAGTTTTAAATACAAACTGATGGAAAATAAGTTTTTAAAATTTTAAAACTTATGAAATTAAAAATTGTTTTTAGTACTAAATTGAATTTAAGATGTTGATGATTTAATTTTAAAATAAAAGTTTTTATGAACTTGCAAAACTTACAGGAGGCTCTTCATCTACATTTGCTATTTCTACTGATAATTCTGACACTGTCTCATCTTCAAAAAAATCCTGTAATAAACATATGTAATAAAAATTTATTAAATACCAGCAAAACAAAAGTAAACACACTTAAGATATAACAGAATGTTGAAAACAAGAATTAATACAAAAACTTGAAAAGTATTTAAAAATAAAATTTTAAAAATTGATATTGAATATTGATACTGGATTGATGTATACTTAACTAATTAATACTGGATATTGTTATTGGATTGGTTGAGACTCAATTTTGATACTAAATCAATAATAATGATTTTGGCTTGGTTGATACTAAGTTTATAGTATTAAACGGGATTTTTAACTTACTAAGATACGTCTTACTAAGACCTTTTTAACTTACTAAGATACGCATTACTAAGACCTTTACTATAACAATGGTTTAACTTACTAAGATACCATACTAATTAGAATCAAAATACTTAACATTGAGAAATCTTTATGATTTTAAAATGAGTTATTACTTTGCAAATAGAAGTTAAATGATCTGCTTCTCTACTGAATTAAATTAAACAGTTGATAGTTTACAACAATTTAAAGTAAATTTGTTTAAAAAAATTTGCTCATAATTTTTTAACTATTTACAGATAATGCAAGAATTTTTCTAGATTGTCTTTGAATTATAAATACACATCATATTCACCAATTTAAACAAATATTTTAATTTTATGATTTTATTATCAGTATTTATTATGAGAAAAAACATAATATCAATACTTATAATGAGTTAGCAAGAAGCCATTTTATCTAAAAAATTTCCAATTATTTATTAAACCAAAAATTTATTAATGATAACACTTAAGCAACTGTAGTACACTCTAAAATAAAGTAGATTTCTACCTTACTGTAGGATATGTGATATACATATACTACTGTAAGGTAGAAATTTATAGTTTGGTATAATTCTCAACCTTCCGAGGTAGAAAATTATATTACAAATAATCATTTGTCATACACTTTTCTACCTTAAAGGGTTATTAAGATTAATAAATTATAACTTACTAAGAGTAAATCACAAATCCTACCATAAGGTAGAAACTATGATTATTTTTTATTTTTTAGAGTGTAGTGATAAAATTTTACTATAAAACATTAGCATAGTAAATAACTGTTTGGTATTGGAAATAATAACTAATTATTGTTTAAAATGATACTACAAAAATTACAATTTCATACAAGCAAAAACATTAGAAAAGAAAAACAAAACAAAACAAAATTACTCCTAAAGGTGTTCTTTTGAGCTTTACAACAGCAGTAATAATTGACCCCGCTGTCACCAAATGCATGTCTTCATCATCAATAACTAAAACAGAAAAAAAAATTGTTTTTATAAATAATTTAAAAGCACCAAAATAGAAGTTTAGCACAAAGCAACCAGTTACCTTTAACTTTCACTTCAATATCCAGACTTGGAAAAGAACTGCATACATTTATAATATCTTGATACTGTTCATCAGATAGTGTGCGCAACAACAGTCTAAAACAAATGCAAAATTATATTCTAGAACAAAGAATATAATTCTTTAATAAAAAATGTATTTATAAGATAAAAGCTCTGCTCCCCAATTCTGTACCTTGAAAAAAAACCAAAAGTTAATTAAGCCGAAAATACGTTTGAAACTATAACTTTTAAATAAATTGTTATATTCAGTTTTTCAGATACTCATATTTTTATATAACTGCTTCAATAATTACTTAGTGATAAATTTTTAGCTTAACCATATTGATTAGCACTTTTGAGCAAGTAGACAAGTGTGACAATGAAACTGCTCTTGATACACACATTTGTTACACACATTTACAGCTTTGTTAGGTTTGTCTTGACTTCAGTTAAGTAATTTTTCAAACTTTGTTTTGTCTTTTTCATATGCATATACTACCTGTCCATACTTAAACCATTCTGTCAATATATGTACTGTGTATGTACTGTTTCAGACATAGTAATAAAATGCATTTACATGTTTTTATCTCCAATGTGGCAATTCCATGTTACTATACCAAAAATACAATTGCAAATTTAAATAGGAACTTTGCTGTTCAACAACTTAAAATTGTGATTTTTTAAATTCATAATCAATTTAATGAAGCATTTTAAATTTCAATATAATTTTTATAATATTTTTGAAAATCATTTTTGTTATTTTCAATCAATTGAAAATAAAGAAACTGCTGCAGTTATAATAAAACAATTAAACAAGAAAAGAAAATATGTTTGTTTGCATGCATTTTTGTTATATATGTATTTTTATTTTAGTTCATCTCCCCAAGGCTATGAAGGTCACTACAGCTGCTGCACAGAGAAACAAGTACTACCAGGGATGTGGTGGGGATCAAACTCGGAACTTTACCAATACTGCACATTGTTATGCATTCCTATACCATTTATTCTATTCTGACCATATTTCTCACAGACAGTTAGATTTATGAACAATTGATATGTTAGAAACATGAAATTAAAGATTCTAAATCATTAAAACTTTGCAAAAAAGTAGCAAAAAAGTTGCAAAAAACTTTTCAACACTATTCAAAAAAAACTTCATTACAAAAGTATTATAAATGTATCCAAAGGTAATGTATCCAAAAGTAAAGGTAAAAAAAAAAAAAAAAAATTCTAAAAATTAGCAGATTTTAATTTCAAACTCACAAAACAATTTTTTTTTTTCTAAACTTGAACAGGTCAATTGAATCAAGTATATCTGGAAAATTAGGTCAATGGGAAAAAGCACTTTAACTTCTCTACATTTTTATATAAATGGAGTTTAATGTATCAAATAGCAATAAAAATATGGCAAAGCTCAACACACAGTGTTTATTTACAAAAATGTTGTTGGACTGCTTGAAAACTTAATATTTATTTTAAGGAAATGTTGCTGGCCAATATTACCCTAAAACAAATATTAGGGTTAGTGTTGAAACAAGTGAAATGAAAGAGTTAAAATTCAAATCAAGAATAAAGTGTCACAATGACACTTTATTCTTGATTTGAATATCTGAAATGTATAAAACCGGTTTAGGTGTATATTTTTGAAAATTAAGTCAATGGGAAATTAGGAGGTTTAAAAAACCATAAAAAGGTTTAAAATACCATAAGTAGGTTTAAAAAAGATAACTTTTTTCAAATTTTTACTTTTAACTTTTAACACAATTTGTACAGGTAGGAGGCAATTGACCTCCAATTTCTATAATGCTATAGAGATATGATATATATTTATACTATTATTTTCAGCAAATTAAAACTCTGTTAGCCTTTGTTTAACTTAATTGCTAAATGCTGTTTTGGGATGAAAACTGATATGTTTGTGGATTCCATGTTCAACTTAAAACCATATGTGTATGATGTATTTGCAAAAAAAAAAGATCACTTAAATGAAGCTTCACATAATTAGATTCCATCATAAAAAGCATCTCATTAAGCTCTATTTCAAACTGGTTTTATTTAAAAAAGGTTGAAAAAACACTTACCTATATTGTTACTACCATTTTTACTGAAAGTAGCAATAATCTAGAGTATATTGCAAGCACTGTTATTATAATCAATGGTAATAATAACAATTAATAAGAGGTTTAATTAGAGAATGCTTTAGTACAATAGACATAAATAATCAGGTTTACGATAAGCTTTTTTACACAGAAGTTTGTTTAAATATTTTTTTGTGAACTTGATGAATTAGCAGACAACCTTAATTTAACTATAAATGGTATCTGTTTCAGTAAACTAGAAGGGAACTAGAATTAACTTATGTAGTATCCTAGTTTTTTAACAAGATAGATGTAACTTAATGTATTTACAGGTTTGTATTAAGGTTGAAAAGAAATTTAGAGGTTGAAAGAGTGACATTAAGGTATTATACAACTTATATTGTACTGTATTTATTGTCTGTATTTACCCAAACCCCAGTCTATGTATGTACTGAAACTTGATGGCTAGATGCTATTTTATTATGATGCCATCAACAAAATTTTATACATTGTTAAATCTGCATTTACTGACATTCTTTAATTATTTAGCGTCAGTATCAAATTAGGAAAAAGAACTTTGCTTAAACTTCAACACTTAGATAATGTCTTTTTTATAAAGCAGTTTGTTTTTATTATAACATAAAATTTCGATTGCATGGTTTGCAGTATCATATAATTTTTTATTTTATTATAGATTTTGAATGAAATGTATTATCTTATTTTAAATATCTCACCAATACCAAAATATACTTTTTTATAGGGATATGGATTTCCAGAACTCACAAATAAATATGTTACTTAATAACCACTGATTGCTTAAAATGTAAGCAGAATTTGTAATGCAGTTTAAAATAACAAAAACAATGTTAGATTTGATCATTAATAAAAAGCATACCAAGTTGAGCATTTGCTAACAGATAGAATAGTATTGCTTATATGATGCAAATCCTTTACATGTTTTGCAACATCTATTCAAATCAGAGGCCAGTGTGAGGGATAAGTATCTAACCCACATTTTATATTTACTGTTTTTCTATTCTGAATTTAGTATCAACAAAAGCAATAGTATACGCATAATTGCTAAAATTTGTATCTTATGCTCTTAAATGCATAACTTGTTTCTATTTATTCAATTTTTAACACTATTTCTAGTTTTACTAGCTTTCTAATCCTACAAAATGCAACCTGAAGAGCTTTTAGTGTAGACAATAACAAACTGACTTAACAATGTTAAATGAAAAAAAAAATACAATAGTAATGGAAGATCATAAAAACCTGAGCAACTAGATAATCAGGGAAACTAAACAATCAAAAACAGGCCAACAAAAACAGTAAAGACAGAAGTTTAAAAGATTATTAAGAATATTTCTTAATAATATTTTAGCATTGACAGCAAATATAATGGACAACATTTGCTGATAGATTCATATGTCTAAGTTTTTTGATGCATACTTGGTTAAATCAGAACCAAATGTGTTCAAAAAAAATCATTACTTTTATTATGTTACTTTCACTTAAATTTCACTTAAGTGAAATTAACTAAACAATGTAAAATCATTACAAAAAAGTTTTCTAACATATAATCTATAGTTGTGCAAAACTGAAATTTAATACTATGCTAATGAAACCATTTTTTTTTTAAAAGTTGACAAAGTAACAATTTCAATACGTTTGATATTGTTCAAACAGTAATTTGGCAAAATAAAATCAGACTTACAAACCTCCTCTCTTCATTCTTCATACCAACCAACTCTCTTATGCTCTTAATGTGTCTCTATTTAAAAAAATGGTCCAATCACAATTTAAAATACAATAATCAACTGAAATAGAAAATATTAAAAAAAAAATTAGACAGCTAATTTTTTTTTCAAGTAATCAAATTAAAAATAATTTTTTCCATAATTTGCATAGCTTATATATTATTTAATTGATAATAGAATGACAGAGTAACGGGAATTACCAAACTGGATGGGGATGGGATGGGGATAAACTCAGTGGAGATGAAAAAAACTTATATGAGGATGGAGTGGGATAGGGATGGTTTCTGTTCCATGTTACTCCCTAGTTGATACTACTTAAAATCCAAATAATACAGTAAAATAACTCATTCTTTAAAAAAATATTAAAATATAATTTTAAAATAAAAAGGCAAGATTCTTTTTGACACTAAAAAAAACCTTTCATTTTTTATTTAAACAATATTTGTTCTTATAGTTGGTTAGTTATAATAACTTGCAATTCAAGCTTATTGGCTCACGCAAAGTAACCCATCTGAAGATAAGCCACTGTAGCAACTATGCTGGAGGTTGTCCAGCTGATTCTTGAATGCATTGACAGTTTCTGCGTTATCAAGTCTTGCGTTATAGTTACTATATATTTTTGCATTATATTAACTATATTTTTTTTCTTATAAAGCATGTATTGCTAAATAAAATTTAAACTTTTTCAAAAGTTTTACTTTCAAAAGTGAAATTATATTAAGATAATTGTATTGAAATTGTACTTTCAAAAGCCAAAACTTTAAACAAATCATTTTCAAAGGTCTTTTAATAACTTTATATAACCTATTAAATATATTAAAACATGCTAGTAGAATGCTTATCCGATTTCGCAGAAATATATATATATATATATATATATATATATATATATATATATATATATATATATATATATATATATATATATATATATATATATATATATATATATATATATATATATATATATATATCAGGCTTGGTCGGGAAGCAGGAGTGATCGCTCTCAAATACTGACCACGGAAATTATATTTAGTTGCGTAAAACTGGCCAGGTTTTTTAGTCGTTTTGAGAACATTTAAGTTTATGTACGAAACAAAAATTTTTGTTTTACGGACATACATGGAAACATAAAAAACTTGAATGTTCTTAAAACATCTTTGTGTGAAAGAATAAAAAGAATATCTGCGAACACTAAAAACCGGCCAAATTAACGAACAAACTAATTCTATTGGTTCAAAAAATACGCTGATTAAGCGAAGTAAAGTTCTAGAGTGTTTTGTTAAAATGTTTCAGAAATTGTATTATACACGATTTGTTACGTTTTGAGATTTCTAGCATTGTTTTAAGAATATATATTATTTGTTTACGAAAATAAATGTTTTAAATATATATTGATTCAACAGTTAAAATTTTAAAAGTTTATTATAAATCATAGATTTTATTAGTATATTCTTATTTTAAAAGAGATTGTATTCTTTATGTAAATGTAATTTTGTGTATTTGTTTTTTATCGTAATGTATCTTTTAAAGCAATTTTTATGATTTAAACAAAGACTTACAAAAATTATTGCGTTTTCAATGAAGTTATAATCGTTAAAGTTAATAAAACTAATTATGTAACAAACATAGAAGTAGTTTTTGGTTACTAAACACAAACAACGCATACAAAGTAACTCGCGGATGAACAAGCATCGCGCCTGAGGTCACGACAGAGCACAAATATATATAGCAAATAAATAGATATAAAGAAAAGTTTCTAGATATTGGTTTACTTACTCTAATTATTTTCGCTTAAGTTGCCATTCTTAAAACTCGTTATACTTTTTTCTGTTTTAAATAGTAATTAAAATTAAAAAGCCCACTCACTAAACATCATCAGCGATATTGTGAAGCAGAGTCGCTTCCTCGTCATTAAGTATTTTTAACCTTTTTAGTTGATTTCTATCTTGATTATTTAATTCCTATAGTAATTCAATGATTTAATTATTTCATTTGTTTATCTTACTAAGAAGAATCGCTTCAAATTTGTTAAACTTTTCAAACTACGCGAAACATAAAATAGGTATTAAAAAAATTAACTTTTTTATTTATAAAATAATTTAGCTTAAGTAAAACTAAAACTTGCAAACTTAGTTAAATAAAGAATATTTATTTCCATTTTAAACAATCGTAAGTTGTTACTTTATATAAAAACATCGCTCATTTTTATTTTTTTTGTAATTGTCTCTCATCGGTCCAATTAATCTTCGTCGCTTTTTTTTTTTGCTTTTTAAAATGTTCTCAAAACGACTAGCAATCTGGCCAGCTTTTCGCAACTAAATATTATTTACGTGGTCAGCAATCGAGAGCGATCGCTCCCGCTTCCCGACCAAGCCTGATATATATATATATATATATATATATATATATATATATATATATATATATATATATATATATATATATATATACATATATATATATATATATATATATATATATATATATATATATATATATATATATATATATATATATATATATATATATATATATAAACGTCAGCTTAAAGTTTTTTTTTATTTTAAACACTAGAAAAAAAAATTTTTTAATTATTTGATAGACTGCCTGCCAAAACCAAACCCTCAGTCAATGTAGTAGCACTCCATTGCAAGTCAGGCTATTTGTCAGTTGATGTAGCAACACTCCATTGCGAATCAGACTATTTGTCAGTTGATGTAGCAGCACTCTGTTGCAAGTCAGGCTATTTGTCAGTTGATGTATCAGCACTCCGTTGCTAGTCTGGCTACAAAATAGTCGATGTAGCAACACTCCACACATGTTTTACAATTAAAAAATAAAAATAAAAACATTCTGAATGCTTTTATTTTTAAAAAACAAAATAAAAACATTCAGAATGTCTTTAAAAACACTCAAAATGTTTTTAAAAACATTCTAGTCTTTTAATTTGCGGTTTTGTAGTTTAATTACTTCCTGCAATTAAATTAATGTGTTTTAACTTAATCTAACCTTCATTTTGTCAGCTTTAAAACCACAAACAAGCGAATTTATTTTTATACCACAAACACGTTTGCTTAGCCGCTTAGCCGCAAAGCATAGGTATGTATATATAAAAAATGTCTGCTCTTACCCTATATATAAAAAAATGTCTGCTCTTACCCTCTAAATGTGTTCTATTCAATAAAATAATACTAGAATTAAAAAATTTTCAAAAAAAATTTTTTAGGGGGTGGCTCAAGACCCTTAAATATCAGACGGGTCCCTGTAATTATCAAAACAAAAGTTCTTCAAAAGTATATCATCTGGGTCTCAAAAAAAGAGAAATTATATTAAAACTTTAAAAATAATCATCATTTTATAAAAAACACTGATTAAAAAAAAATATAATAAAAAATTGTTGTAAAAATGTATATTTTTAATTTTTAGTTTTAAAATTTCATTTGCTAGGCAGTGAAACATTTTTTTTATAAAATGATGATTATTATTATAATTTTTATATAATTTTGCTTCTTTTGATACGCTTTATCTTGTTTAATATTTGAACAATCGGTAAGATACAAGAAGTAATTAATATCATAAAAACTACTTATGAAGTTTGAATGATGATTACATAAAAAAGTTTGAATGACAATTAAATTTTATATTCGCACTATTTACAAATGTAATAACTTGAGAAAAAACAAAGAATGTTTTATTTTTATTAACCCAACTTTTCCATCAAAAATGTTCAGTAAAGAAAAGAAAAAAAGATGTTCAGTAAAGGAAAAGAAAAAAAGATGAAAAAAATAAATTATAAAATAAACATAGTAAAACATTTTTTATTTATTATTTTGCAAGAGCAAGAATATTTATTTAGAAAATTTCTCATAACAACAGTAAAAAAATAGTTACCCATTAAAAAATAAAATAGAAAGCAAAACAAAAGATTATTAAATTTAATTTTATATTAGTGCCACTTTTGATATTTTGAATTTTTTGTTTGTTAAAATGATTTTTGATTTTGATAATTAATGTTTTTTTATTTTATCAAAAAAATAAAAAACCATTTATTGCAAATTTTAAACAACATATTATAAAGAGTTTATTTTTTTATAATTAAAAACAACAACTTCTTTTATGGATACAACTCTATTATTATTTTTTTTTGCTTGAATTTACACTTACATCAATATAGCTCTTGCAATGTCTTCACTTATATTTATAAATTTATTTTGCAAAAAATAATAGTTTAGAAAAATAATATTTTATAATAGTTACATCAGCTTTCCTTTTAATTAAGAAAGAATTTTCATTAATAAAAGTTATCTAAATTTAAAAAAATTGTTTGTTTTTTCCCTCTTGATAACATGTTATAACTTATAGCACTGCATCAATTCCTTGTTAACATGTTATAACTTATAGCACTGCAAAAATAATTATAAAGTGTATGTTTAACTTTTTTGTCTTAAGGCAACTGAAAGCGCAAAGGTATATATATTTTAATAAATGATACTTGGAAACTTAAATCTTTGTCACAAAAAAAGGGGCTGGCTATATATATATATATATATATATATATATATATATATATATATATATATATATATATATATATATATATATATATATATATATATATATATATACATCCTCTAAGTAAATACTAGAATTTACCTTCTTAGTATGAAAATGCCTTAAGTGTTCTTGTGAAATATGAGGTAACATCAGAAACGCAGACTTGCAATCCCACACGCCTTGCACAATCATTTGTGATAATTTCATTAAATTTTCTAGCGTTTCTAAACGTGGCGGCTTCAATACTAAAAAAAAAAAAAAAATTTAATAAAAAAATAAAAGACAGAAATAGACAGAAATATGAATATAGATAATAAAGCTAATAAACCAAAGTAAAATGTATGAACAAATAATATAAAAAATAAAAAAAATGAGAAATATTAGTTAAAAAAGTAAAAATAAATAAATTGATAAGCAATAAAAATGTAAAACACATTCGTAAAACGTTAACTGTTATTATAATCAATATATAATTTAAAACTCAAAAAAAAAAATTGTAACAAGAAACTGCAACCTAACAAGTAATAACACACATTGAATCTTTAACCAAACAACCTACCTCTTCCTGCTTTTCCCAAGGCTATAAGTTGACCAACAACATTGATCATTTCTTTTATTAAATAAGGACATTTTTTAAGTATAAGCTCCAAATCTAAAAACAATAAAAGTAAACAAGTCCTTCCAAAAAACAAATACACCATAATATCGTTAAAAAGACAGCCAAGCTTTTAACTTTCTTTTCTTTTGGAAATGTAATTCCTAGTATTTTTACAAATTAACCATAGAATAATTTATAAAAAGAAATTTTAGATTTTTAGTCAGATTACTATAATCAAAAAATTTTAATTAAACTTCTAGTCTATTCTAACATATAATATATTAAAATATGGTAGCAGTGTAGTGGTAAAGCGCTCGTTTTAGAAGCGAGAGGTTCCAAGTTCAATTCTCACCATGTCCCTGGTAGTACTGCGCTCAACTTGTTTCTCCCCGACCTTGTTTGTCAAGGTTCATGTTGCAGAGTTATAGAGTTGAGAGAGGGTTATAACCAATAAGTAGCCTCCTTAATCAGTAGTGGCCTTCTCGGCCTTGGGGAGGTGAATAACAAAAAACAAAATATCTGGACTGGCTATTGTGAAGGTATTCTTTTTCTCTTTCACAAATCTTGTTATTAGGTACTTTTAACAACTTTCATATACCTTTAAGAAGTGTCTCCTGTGGCAATGCTATTCTTGAAAAATGAGCATGTAAAAGGGCACGAGCTTTCACACTGTATGGGTAGCATAGTGGTCTTTCTTTATTTTTTTCGTTTAACTGTGCTAACTCTCGCATTAACTATAAAAAGAATCAAAGTATTGTTATATATTAAAATAAGCATCTAGATTTGTTTATTTATATATATATATATATATATATATATATATATATATATATATATATATATATATATATATATATATATATATATATATATATATATATATATATATATATATATATATATATATACATATATATTTACATATATGAATGCAGCATTAGATATAAACTGATGATGCCATGCTGAGATGTGTAGTTGTGGGGGCTTCAGTAAATATATAACTGACATAATAGGTAGAATGTAAAGAGTGTCGCTACATCAACTAAAGGTTTGGATTGGGACAGCAATTTTTTTTTACTTAACCTTAGTTTTTTCTTTTTTTGGAGTTTTTTTTTTAGGTTATTTCTTTTTTTTATATATATTTTTTATAAATGTTTGACAAAAAAATAATAAAAAAAATCATTCAACTTTGTAATGCAGTATAGCCAAAAGAAATATTTCTCTTGTTGTCAATAATAAAATTAAAACTTTCATAATTTTTTTTAATTACTTTGAAATTTAACATTTTAATTATCACCACATTTTGGACAAGCCGTAAGTTGGCTTGTTTAGTCCTTTGTTTGCTTATACCAAGCAAAATCAGCTCTTTCATATTCCTCAATACACCCTAAATGGTTTTGTGGCTACAATAAAACAATTTTTTGGCTTTCTGTAGGGAAATATACAATGTAAATGTATACTGCTGGTTGATGAAGTTTATATTAAATTCACATTAACTTATCACGGAAGCGTATTATTTGGAAATTCTGCTGATCAACCCAGTGTCCTTGCCAAAACCATGTTGGCTATTATGGTAAAATATTTATTTGGTGAATCAAATGAATATTTTGCAATAATTATTTCTTTAATTTGTGATTTTAGATTTTTTGAATTTCATACTCTCTTCTATGGGGCTACAATTAAACAACTTTTTATTAATGGCTTAAATTTTTATTAATTTCCCAGAAAAATAAAATTAACAAAAATAACAAATGCAATTAATGGGCAGTGACTAGGTTTAATTTTATGCCAATTTTTAATTGACATATATTATATAAATGTTTTTGTGCACTAAGCCTTTTAAGAAATATCATTGATGACTTCATACTAATAAATCCATCTTCGGGACTTCAGTACAAACATTGACTGGGAGTTTGATGCACATTTATATGCAAAAGACACTTATCAGTCATCTAGGGGGCTTAAGCATATACATCAACTGAGTTTGGGTTTTGACATCTAGATGTAAAAAACACTTACAAATAAAAATTAATAATTTTAAATGTATTCTACAAGAGTGCTAAATATTCTTAAAACAAAAGAGCAATAATAACTCAGTAGAAAATCTAAGTAAAAAAATTAAATAAAATAAAATTGATAAATAATTTCTACTAATTTATATATATATATATATATATATATATATATATATATATATATATATATATATATATATATATATATATATATATATATATATATATATATATATAGTCTTGCATGTCTCTTGCGTAGCATCAAAAAATATTTCCTATAAACTGTAGTTTTAAAGAGCGCGTTAATAAACCAGACCAGAAAAAGTTTTAAAAATTAAATTTTTTTTTTTAATTGATAGACTGCCTGGCCAAACCAAACCCTCAGTCGATGTAGCAGCACTCTCTTGCGAGTCAGGCTATTTGTCAGTCGTTGTAGCAGCACTCCCTTGCGAGTCAGGCTATTTGTCAGTCGATGTAGCAGCATTCCCTTGCGAGTCAGGCTATTTGTCAGTCGATGTAGCAGCACTCCGTTGCGAGTCAGGCTATTTGTCAGTCGATGTAGCAGCACTCCGTTGCGAGTCAGGCTATTTGTCAGTCGATGTAGCAGCACTCCGTTGCGAGTCAGGCTATAAGATAGTCGATGTAGCAACATTTACGCATGTTTAAAAAATGTTTTTTATTAAATCAATAACAAAAACACCACTAATTAAAAAAAACTTTCTAGTCGTTATAATTGCGGTTTTTTAAAAATTTTTTAAAAAACAATTAAATTTAATGTACTTCCGCATAAATTAATTGCTTTGACATTTCGATGACAATCAAAAACAGCTTAAGAGACGAGGTAATTAAAATTGTAGTCGTAAGAGACTTTTTTTACATTAAAATGCTCTTAAAGCGACACTATATGAGTATATATATATATATATATATATATATATATATATATATATATATATATATATATATATATATATATATGTATATATATTTATATATATATATATATATATATTTATATATATATATATATATATATATATATATATATATATATATATATATATATATATATATATATATATATATATATATATATATATATATATATATATATATATATATATATATATATATATATATATATATATATATATATATATATATATATATATATATATTGTGACAATGGTCGTCAAATACTGGTGCAGACAATAGTCTAGTTGTTAAGCTAGAAAAGAACAATAAATAGAAAATTACACTTTGTGGTCAACTTCACCAAAATAAATTACCCTTTAGACATGTAACTATGTTACTTGATAGAAAAACAAATCATCCTAAAAAACATATAAGTCTAGTTTGTTCATCTGTTTCAAAATTCCATTCATAAAATTCTTAGAATAATATTTTTCTACAATGTCAGAAATTTAATGTTGATGAAAGTTTTGTTTCAGATTGAAGCAATAAACAAAGAAAATTATATGAATATACTGTAGTTGTAAGTACAGGCCAAGTGAACCATACAAGATGGTTGACACTTACATTAAGTATTAGGTATAAATATACTAGAGCAACAGAAATCCTTCTGCAAAATTAATTATGATAACAAAAGTAAATAGTTCAAGTATATGCTCTAATTTGGTAAGATCAGATCATTACATAGAATCAGCAAAAAAAAAATTTTAATGATTGAGCTGACATAGCTACAGTATAAAAAGATACAAGAAGTTGACTTAGCTGAAAATTCACATTGCTTTTAACAGGAAAATATTCTCTATTGCATGATTATGAATGATGATAAAGGAAACCAAGATAAAGTTAAAAATCAAATACTCAAAATTAGGAAGCTAAATGAAGGTTAAATGAAATTAGGAAGCTAAATGAAGGTTAAATGAAATTCGGAAGCTAAATGAGAAAAATAAATTTGTTTCAAAGATTAAACCCAAATCAATTACAAAGATTGATTTTAATTATCAATGTTGGAATGGTCTAGTGGAAGTATGTCAAATTGAGGTGGAACCTCCTACTACAATTTGTTTTTCTCCTGTTGTTGTTGTTGACCTGATACAAAAGAATCTGGAGAGGTCATATATCTTCAAAACAACTCTTAATCAGTTAAACATGGTGTGTCTGCAACAGATGCATCTAATCTTTATGATTAGATGCATCTGTTGTCTGCAACAGATGCATCTAATCTTTATGATCTCTTAAAAGGCAAAACTTTATTCTTACTAAAATTTAGAATATCTAATAACAGAAAATCACAGAAATGTTAAAAAACCAATTAATTTGGTCCAAACAAATAATTAATTGTTTGATAAATAAAAAATTGTTAAAAATTCCTAAGGTTAACTTGATGTTTAAGGTGCTTTAAGTAATATTCTGGAAAAATGCCAGTAATCTTAACACAGATTGTTGTTTTTAAACGAATACCCCAAAACAATATAATTCATTTGTAAACAAATAACGGCTTCAGTACATAAATTGACTGATGTGTTAAAGTTTAAGCAGACATTATCTGTACATAAAAGTGATCTAAATTAGAAAAAAATGTTGCCTTTTTACATGTAAAATACAGACCAAAAAAACTAAAATGCAATATCTCCATAAATGTCAATTATTACTACTATACAAATACGTTTAAAAACATAAAACCTAAAAAAACAATTTCATTGTATAATTTAAAAGTCAACCTACCATTGGTAATTCAACATTGTCACTTGGTCTTTCTTGAACATTATTATTATGGCCTTTTTCAAATTCCATTGAACCAGCCAAAATCATTATAACACCTAAAAACACACATATTTTAGTGTCCTACATGATGTATTCCAGAGCATGTAAGAGTTATTTTTTATTTAAAAGTTTTAAATTTGAAAAAAAAAGTAGTAAGGGCAGAATTATATTAAAAAGACTACTAAAAATTATTGAAGAACTTTATTTTCTAGAGATTTTTTTCTTTAATATACAAGATATAAGAAATTGTAAATACATTCATTGAACAATACAAAGAATTCTGTTAATGAAACAATGTCCAAATAGGGTAGGTTTTTTATAATTGGTACAAATTTGTCCTAGTTCTAAATGATTTCTGTGGTTTTAATATATCTCAGTTTAACATATGTTCAAAACAACATCTTTAAGAAATGAAGAGGTCTAAGCTTTATCTTTTGGATTTAAATTTTGATAAATTTTTAAGTTAGACAATATATATATATATATATATATATATATATATATATATATATATATATATATATATATATATATATATATATATATATATATATATATATATATACACATATACATATATATATATATATATATATATATATATATATATATATATATATATATATATACACATATATATATATATATATATATATATATATATATATATATATATATATATATATATATATATATATATATATATATATATATATTGAGACTGTCGTAATAGCATAAAATAAGTAATTACTTTTAAAAATAACATGATGTTTTTTATTCTTGACATGTTTCGTAAAATTTTATTTACATTTTCAAAAGATTATTTTACAATAATAAAACTCTGAAATAAATATTAAAAAATAGAAGTCTTCAGAAAATGATATTTTAAAGAATGTAGCAATTAAATTTTGTGTAATAAATTAAGTATATAGCAAATTTATGTATTAGTGGTTTTTTAGTTTTGAAGTTGTTTTTTTTTACAAAAAAATTGGTCATAGTTTATTTATTACATTTTAATTGGTTTTTTAGATTGCTCATAGAAAGAAGGTCGTTTAGAAATACAAATTTAGTTTATGTGCTGCAGGCGAAGATTTTGTTTAAAATGGCAAATATTTAACAAAATGAGTAGACTGATTACATCCGGTTGTTTAACCTCTACGAGAAATAAGCATTTAATTCTCCAGTAGTAGGGGTGGTGTTTTTCAATATTTAATTGTAGTATAGCATAAACTTGTAACTATATGTAAATTGATAGAGTTGAACGTATTTTCATAATTTACTCATTATCAGAATTTTCTGTCCAATCATCATCAGAAATATCATTTAATGGAAGCCTTAACTTCTATCAAATTAAAAAAAAGTTTTGTCACTAATGCTTCTTCTCCGCATGTGTTTAACATAACTATACCAAGGCTAAACTTTCCTAATATACTTTCTGGTCTTAAATAATATTATTTAAGATCAGAAATCACGCAGTGGTTAGGGCGCTTGCTTTATAAGCAGGAGATCCAGGTTCGAAATGAAGTTCTGGACATATTTTTACATTACAGTAAGGAAGGAGGTGTGAACTTTCTGGTTAAATGCACTACTGCGGTGCTCTGTGACAAGACCATTAGGTCTTCTTAAGGCACCTAAAAAAAAACCGTAAACATGTAAAGTATTTTATTAGTTAAATGGTTTTCACTAATAAAAAAATTAAAATTAGATTTTATAACTTAATAAAATAATACTTGCGCTTAAAAAAGCGTGAAAACAAGCATTTAAAAAAGCGTGAGAACAAGCATTTAAAAAAGCGTGAGAACAAACATTTAAAAAAGCGTGAGAACATTTAAAAAGTTTTTAAACTTGCTGTGCTTGAATAAATTTGAGAAAAAAAGAAAAAATAAAATTTAAAAAAAATGAATGAATTATTGTTTTAATAAAAAATCTCAAACTTGAAAAGTATGTAATTACAATAAAAAAATTATAAAATAATTTTTAACGATATAATATATATATATATATATATATATATATATATATATATATATATATATATATATATATATATATATATATATATATATATATATATATATATATATATATATATATATATATATATATCAATGGCATTATGCACAGAAGTGTTAAGTGCCACAGATATGATTTTACAGGAGAGCATTTTGAAAGCAGTAGATTAGTAACAATTTAGTAGACTTGTAACATTTCAAACAATTAGTTGAATCATAACAATTTATCGTATCGTGCCTCTAAAAACAACTTTTTTTGAAATTATTTGCTGCCACCCCTAAAATGTAATAAATTAACACTATGTAATAAATTTACACTAAATTAAAAAAAAATTTGAATAAAAAAAAACTTTAGGGGTCGCTAATTTATTACATAGAACACATTTAGGGGGTGGCAGCAGACAATTTCAAAAAAAGTTGTTTTTAGAGGCACTCTAAAAAAAAAAATATGTATGTATTTCGGTGCTGGTAAAACAACCAAAATGTTTACTTTTACCACCTAGTTGTGTTCTAAATAATAAAAGGCAATGGTTTTCAAAAATTAGGTTATAAAAATTAAATTTAGGGGTTGCTTAAAACCCTCAGGCAGGTCTGTGACATATATAAAAAAAAAAGTAAATTATGTTAGATTTCAAATGAAGCAAAATTATATGTTAAAATTTCAAAATTATAATTTTATAAAAAAAAAAATAATAATAAAAAATCTTGTAAAAATGCACTTTTTCCATATTTAGTTAAAAAACCATAGTTTTTAAACAAACTCTAAAATTATCATTTTTTTCATAAAATATTTATTTTTGAAATTTTTATATAACTTTGCTTTATTAAATATTTATTTTTGTTGATCTATTTTATAGCAAGTTCCTATTTTCACACATCACTTAAGATGGAAACCTGTGATGTGTGAAAAACATAATTAAAAAATTTTATATAATACTTTTTCAGTTGAGACCCAGGTTGATTTATTTATGAAAAGCTTTTATTTTTCAAACTCCTTTTTTAACTTGTCTTAGGTGTCTTTTGTAACAAAAGCAACAGCTTTGGTAGAAGATTTCTCACACATTAAAAAAATCTTTCACACAAGACAAATAAGATTTGGTAAAGCTGCAACTTTACCACCGCTGTCACATTTTATTATAAATCTATATCATTTATTTTATTATGAACATAAAAAATATAAATTCCAATAATCTCTCACGTTTAATTGACATATTTGGTGTTTTGTGGAAAAAATACCAATAAAGTTGGTCAGTATCCATAAGCACCTCATCAGCACTGTATTGAATTGATCTATACCACCAAGTACCCTATGAAAGACTGTATACTAAACTATTTTTTAAGAAATAAAATGCTGAAAAAAAAACACAATAGAATTGTAATAAAAAGTATAGTAAAAAAAAAAATAATAATAGAAATAATAACAAAATAGGCTAAAAGTAACACCTACCACAACAATGGGCAATATAATGATAAATGCAACTAAGTATGCCCCAAGAACCCACATTGAATTTTTTTTATCAACAATCCAGGATGGAAGGGCAATACCAAATTGTGTAGCTAAAGTAAAAAAAAATATACATTTTACCTTTCATACAATTACATATATTTTAAAACGTAAATACAAAATAATAAAAAATGTGGTAGTCTGTGACAAAACCTTACAATCTTATAACATTAAACCAGGAAGCTCACATTTCCTATTGCTTTGTAGGAATTGATTAATTAGACAGACGCTAGAAAAAGTTACCTCTGACTTGAAATACCCCATGCCGAAAAGGCTCAATGAACAATGTAACACAGTTTTACATCTCTATATATATAGATGTAAAGCTGTTACACTTTTCCTTATCTAGGACAATGAACGCTAGATTTTCTTTACTTTTCACTCACTTTTGCTAGTGCCTCATCGGTAGAGGGTATATAACTCTTCCTGTTAAGTTCTAATGAAGGTACAGCTATAAAACTCTTTAATTTAGTTTAATAGTTCTGAGATCGACTTGTAGTAAGACCTCCTAAACTCTGCGGTAGCTCTCAGAGAAGCTGATTACCATCAACAGCTGTAAAATATCAGAGCATTAACAGTGCCATATTGTGCATGGAAGGTGCTCCTGTTAGTGCATTTAGTGCTATCAATTTGCAAAAAAAATATAACTATGACTCCCATAGCTAAGGGTGTCATGCACTATCTATGATTGAAATAAGTTCTCTAATTATTATAAAACATGAACAAAGTACATAAAAGTAAGTAAAGAAATATTAATAAATAAAAACCATCATTATCACCAACTTTTTAAAACTATCCTTTACAAATATTTATGGTTTTCGAAGTAACTTTTCATTTGCTGAATTTTACCTATTGCAGAATTCACCAGACCTACTTAATCTTTGTGAGATTATTCTAAATTTGGGTGTTTCACTCTTTCACATCTTAGCGTTAATGGCTTTCATCTTTTGATTAGCAAAAATTCCAATAGTCACATGTTTGAGATACACAAATCATAGCAATTTGTTGCAAAATCAGATTTGAATCTATTTTTTTTCATAATCATTTTTTTCATCTTTTTTACAAGATTTTCACAATTTTCACTCTTTTCATTTTGTTATTATTGCAAGAAACTGATGCATAAAGGTACTGTTTGCATAGGTACTGGTAGGTATTGTTTAACACTCCAAGGTTCATTATTCTCAGATTGTTCAGTCTCGTTATCTCAGAAATTAGTTTCTAGAAACTTTTGGAAAATCTATAACAATGTCATTGACAATGATAACTCTTACATTCATGATAAACACATAATGATAACTCATCACAATAATAACTCTTACATTTCATCTTTCATAAATAATTCTGATCATATTACCTTTCTCAAGGATAAAGCAAAACTACTTACAAAGAACTTTACCTGCAATTCATCTCATGAATCTAAAATTTTTTTGAGAAAGGTAAGAGCCACACTAAAAAAAAAGCTTAAAGGGATCCCTAACTGCCGAGACAAGTTGTGTTCATATTAAAGAAAATGTTTAAAAAAACATTTGGGCTAAATTTTTTTGATTGAAACTATATAATGAATGCATACCAACAAAATTCAAATTATCGTTTTAATCATAGCTCGCCTTCTCCATTTTTTTTTGGTTCTCGAGGTCTGTGTAATGTTAGCCGCAATCTGCAGACTTGATAATTTATTCCATGGGTGTTTCATTCATAACAGTTTTGGTATATGATGTCATCGAAATATCTTTTTAAGATTGCGTTTTTTTGTTGATGTTTTTTTTAAAGATATAAGTATTTTTTACTCTACTACAATCAGAAAATCAAATATTTGTATAATTTATTACTAAATCACAAAAAATATTTGCGATTTATTAAAAAATTATACAAATATATATATATATATATATATATATATATATATATATATATATATATATATATATATATATATATATATATATATATATATATATATATATATATATATATATATATATATACATATATATTTATAATTTTTTTTAACTTGATTTATTATTACTGTGTTTTAAAAGCAAGCCAAAATCATGACACAATTATACATATTTTGTGATTATTAGAGTTCGCAGGCAGAGAAAAAATAAAGGCAGTATGATGTGGTTTCTCGTTTTATATTTAGTTCATATGATTTAAAAACTTTGGCATATAAAATGCGCCGAATGGCCACACATGAGCAGTGAACGCCTGAGGGAAGAAATGAAGTACATTAGAATAAAGCAGAATTATTTATTAGACAAAGCATATTTTGACAGTTGTCAAGACAAAAATAAAGATTAATTAGAGGAATATTTAAAAATAAATAAGACAGGCTATACACCCACAACAATAATAACAATAACAATAAATTTAAAAAGATAAAAAAAATTGTTTTATAAACACCAATATGAACGAAGATATATATCACCAGACAAAAACTTGTAAAACAAAAAACGGATCACAAAATAAAAAATCTGATAACAACAATGAGAGGCATTTAATAATGGAAAAAAAACATTAATGCTAATGTTTAAACATAATTTGTGTAGTGATTAAGTAATAAACATCTCCTCAGAGTCGCGTCTATTATTACTGGCATTTCGATGAGGATCAACATTTATAACTTTAATATTTATAAATCTAATAGAGTTGTTTGTTTTATGTTTATTTTACATTTAGTTATGGTTTAACTCTTTCACTACTGCAAGCCATTGGTAGCGGCTTTCGAGTATGCTTTACAATTTATCTTTTTTTTGTACATAAATTTCCATTCTATACACCTAGAATTTGTTTGTTCTAAAGGTTTAATAACTTCTCTACATAATCAAGAAAAAATAAGAGCTATATTGTGTAATTATAAAAAAGTTATCACAAAGTTAAAAAATCTTGAATAATCCTTCTTAAAAAAAAACTTTATATTTAGTTATAAAATAAAACAGCGATAACACTGTAAAACTTAACATGTAGAAGTGTTAAGTATTTAGTTAAGTAATTACCAAATTATTTTGAAGAAAAAATATTATTTTTATTCATTAAATGAGGTTTGTTTCGGACTTAAT